GGAAAGAGGACATTGCAAAGTCTCATCTAACAACCAAAACCACCTAAATAAGCTTTTCAGAAGCTAAACTAGCCTAGTAAGCCTCAAGTTTCCTCATTGTTTGCCACCAGGTCCCCAGTTCTATTTATTTTAGGTTGGGGGGGAACATGGAGGGGTTGACTTTGTTTTGGTTTTCAGGATCCATCTCAACCAAGCATTTTGAGACAACCACTAACACTTTCTCTAGACTAAGGTATTGCAATCCCCAATGAACAGACTAATATAAAACTGGTATCCTAGCGCTTGCCCACGGCCAAACTTAGAATATATAAAATATTAGGACTTAGAAGAGGGAAGAGAAGTTTTATCCATGATATAAAGTTCCATGCCCTTAAATAGTGGCAAGTCAAGGAGTTCCTGTTACACCACAACATACCTTAGAAAAAGTGAGATAATATTGAATCAAGCTTTAAATACAACAAAAATAAACTTAAACCTATTTTTGTGTTATCAAGAAACACTCTGGAAAAACAAAATAGCTTTAATCTTTACTCTTTAGTTAGAGGAAAATATTAAGACAGACTCTGCTCAACAGAAATAAATCCAGCAGGCAACAAATGGAAACTCAAAATTCACCCAAAAATGCTAGGAATCACTGGCTTTACAACAGTCAAATTACCACATCAGAAACTTCATGTTATATTCACAACCTAGATGTCCCAGCAAAATGTAGGATTTTTTTCAAAGCAATTAAAGAATATGCTGCTGTTGGAATACCTTATGGTTGCAAGGTAATAGACATGCATCAAACCTGAAGTTTATTCAGAGGCAGCTAAAACAGTGCTCAGCACTAGATCTTTTTCTACAGAGAGAAGATACAATTATCTATAACGAGCGAGATCTGAGCTCATCATTTAAAGTTAGGTTTCCAAACACGTACAGCAAGGGTTTGACATTTCAAGAATACTCCTTTAAAGCAGTAAGTGTAGCTAATAATTTGTGGGCATTAGGTAGCATCACAGCTTTTCAGAACAGTTTGTGAGTGTTGATTTGTAAAACATGACTGCAGTTTTATCAAAGGAAATATTGCTGGTGTGGACACCAGTACTGATGATAGCCATAGAATGAAATTCAGGTGCAAGTCAAAATTAGAAAATTGGTGTTCTGCTGTTTACAGAAGAAAAAGATTCTCATCACCTCAGCTGTAAATGGAACCTGCTGCCTGCAACCAGCACCTAGCAGTGAGTGACAGAAAGGGAGGGAAAGCTGTCATGCCAGCTGTACTGCACAATGACTGGATGGGTGCTGTCAGTCAAGATGCCAAGAGATATGTTAACAAAATTGCTAATAGCTAGGAGAACATGCTTTTTGTTCCCTTCAGAGGCTATTTACTATATTGTGAATACCTAATTAAAAAGAGGAAGACAAAATTTCAAGAAGCAGATCCTTATCAGACGTGTTAGGGTGCCTCCTGCAAAGAGGACAAACATCATCTGATAGTGATCCAAAAGTAAAAAAAGTGCAGTTAACACACTAACCAGTTCTACCAAAGCTGATAGAATTAAAAGTTAATATTTTGCTCAACTCTAAACCAAAAAGGCTAAGCATCTGGTAGGGGCGCAAGTCCTAGCCACAAATATCTCCATAACATGTCTTTCCTCCACAAGAAAGCAGAAAAGACTACACCTATACCCACATATTGCTTTGAGATTACTAATTCAAACATGCTTCATAAAGTTGTGCTTTGACCAGTATGGAAATAGAATTTATATATTTAACTCCCTGAAGGGAGAATAAAACCAGAAGGCCAGAATAAAACCTCCAGTCCCAAATAGAGAGTAATAACCATCCCAGATGATTCGAGGAGGGGCCTCAAAACTGGTATCAGCAGTCTGTAGCAACAGCAGGCTGGAAATGTAAGTGGAGATTCCACTTGTTCAGAAGTTGAGAACAGGATAAACACCAGGTAGAAAAAAGCTAACTAACAATTCACAGGGAAGCGTTCACTGTTCAATCTCATTATCAATGAAGGATTACAACCAGCTCCTGAAGAGGAAGAAACGACTGCAGAATGTAAAATTTTCCGTTTGCAAGAAACAAAGCAAAGGACATTTTAAGCTCATAAGAAAGCTCATGTAGAGTGAAAACACAATAATGCAATGGATGGGCTCTTCCTCTGCTACAGCTTAAGGGAGCCCTGAAAACCACAGAAGCAAGAAAGGCATTGGGGCCATCTGTCGGCAGATCTAGAAGACAGCAATAGCTTACACAGAGAAGGGTATTTGCACAGCTTTACAAACACTTCCTTCCCAATGAGAATTCAGTTCCTACACTTGCACATGGCATAAGCCCAGAAAACCATCCCCACTTGGCTTGGACAATGTTTTTCCTCCTGGTTTTTTTTCCAAGTGAATTGTGTTACGATGTTAATGCAGACAGATGATTAAGAAGAACTGCTTGATTTTATAGGTAGGGGTTTTTTTCTTCCCATTTTGCCTTTTAATATTTCCATTTACCATAGATAATTCACACCCAAAAGTCACATTTAAATCAAGTTAATGAAAATGTTCAGTTCAAAAGTAAGAGTCCCAAAGAATTGGGCAGTACATTAAAATTAAGCTAAAAACCTGTACCACTTCAAACAAGTACTTCCCCCTTTATTTGAAAAGGTAACTAAGTGACTTCAATGCTTCCATTTAAAAAAATGAATAAAAATTGCCTCTCAAACCCAAATATATTTGCTTGTCTAAGTTATGGTGGAGGAGGGGGAAACTCTTTACAACTTTTAAGTGGTCAAAAGGAAAAGTATGAATTACAAAGTCCTTACAGTAATTATGAATGCTCCCATCAACTCCTTCCAGGAACTGGCAAGTTTCACACCTCAGATTTCTCTAAATTAATTGCCCACCTATCAGAGCATTTATTAACTAACAAGCATACAAGTATAAGGTATGCTTAACCTTTAACAAAAGGAAAACAAAAAGAAGTTAAGTCTAATGCACCTCAGAAACAAGAGAAGTAACAACGAAGCATTATCAAAAACATATGGCAATTTGTTTCTAAGGTTTCAAATGAGCACTTTGGAAGATGGATTGCTTTGACTCATAGTCTGTTCTCATATTCTTAAGTTTGGCATTTGAAACCATTGCACTGCTTCATATTTATCTTAAGCTACCTGCTAGATACTAACCTTAATCAGGGAGGGTGCTTACCATTCCAATAGCACTTGGCTTTAACATTAGGGAATCAGTGTCAAACTACAACACCAAAGCAGCCTGAAGAGCTACACCTTCATTGGAGTCATGCTGCTAGCTTCTGCCAGCAGACCTCATTTCTCCAATGTGTATTACAAACACAGCTAAGTCACCTGCCACACAAAATCACGAGGTCTGGACAAGATGACCTTAGAGGAACAGATGCATTCATTCACTGTGAAGCAGCTGGCTGGAAGGATGCTGCCCATCCACTGCCTTTTGCTCAGGGGAGGCTGGGAGTGTCTGACTGCACAGCAGCACAACCTAAAGGTGCAAGAGGAAAGGCAGCAGGGGAGACACTGCACCCATGTACATGCCTGATCCAACACTCAACCATGATCCATACCCATCTGGCATCAACAGCAGGGAACGGCACAGCTGACTAGGTCAGGGACACTCAGAAAAGTATCTAAAAAGTATTCTGATGGGGGCTATCACATGCTCACAAAACCAAAAAATCCTTTCACTCTTACTGAGATGTCATTGACTGGTAAGAAAGCAATAAAAACAAAGAACAGTTTCACAGGCTTGGAAGGAATTATCTATTACCATGTTAAGTGTAATGAATATGAAGAGTACAGCAGGCTGGCCGAGGGTGAAGCCTTTATTAAGGCCCTGATGGCCAACTGTCAAAACTGAAGGGTTTAACTTCCTCTTTCCTCAGAGCAGAGACAACTCTAATTGCTTCATACTTGAACCATAGAAATCAAAACCTTCTCCCAGCTACCTTCCATCCTCTAACAGTGCAGCTGTTGCCATGGTCCTCTCTTATCCTGTTGCACTGCAGTTCATAGAACCACAGACTGGTTTGGGTTGGAAGGGACCTTAAAGATAATCTTGTTCCAACTCCCCTGCATAGGCAGGAACACCTCCCACCAGCCCAGGCTGCTCCAAGCCCCATCCAACCTGCCCTTCAACACTGCCAGGAATGGGGCAGCCACAGCTTTTCTGGGTAACCTGGGCCAATGTCTCACCAGCCTCACAGGAGAGTTTCTTCCTAGTATCCAATCTAAATCTCCCCTCTTTCTGCTTAAAACCATTCCCTCTTGTCCCATCACTCCGTGTCCTTGTAAAAAGTCCCTCCCCAGATTTCATGTAGACTTTTCAGGCATTGGAAGGTCCTCTAAGGTCTCCCTGAAGCCTTCTCTTCTCCAGGCTGAACAATCCCAACTCTCTTAGCCTGGCTCCATAGCAGAGGAGCTCCAGCCCTCTGATCACTTCTGTGACCCACTCTAGACTCAATCCAGCAGGTCCTTGTCCTTGTGTTGAGGACTCCAGAACTGGACATAGCACTGCAGGGCAGGGGAGTCTCACAAAAGCAGAAGGGGAGAAACCCCACCCTTGACCTGCTAGTCACACTGCTTTTGATGCAGCCCAGGACACAGCAGGCTTTCTGGACTGCCAGACCACACTGACAGTCCAAGTCAACACTCCTAAGTACTTTTCCTCAGGATTGCTCTTAACCCATTCTCTGCCCAACCTGTAATTTTGCTTGGGATTGCACCCAGCCAGGTGCTGCACCTTGCACTATTACTCCTTCTGAAATCCATGGCGGCAGGGATTCTCCCCTGTCAATGCACAAGAAACAGACACAACCAAGACCTGAAATACTGTACCAAGAAACTATGATGTATTTCTCTCTGTAGTAGATTTAACATTCTGTACTAACTAGTTAAGTAGTACTGCACTGCATTTTTAGTTGCCACCTGAGAGCTAGTCCTGTGAACAATTTGTTATTTTACTGTAAAAAGCAATCATATGTGGAAGGGCTGTTGACTGGGCAATTTCCCATCAGTTTAGAGTATTAGGAGTGAAGAGGTCATGCTTTGTATTTTAGCTAATTGGAAGCTTTACCTTTAATTATTAAGGAAGAAGATAAACATGACTGATGTTTGCTAGGGGGAGAGCTGCATTTATTTTATTAGTGTTACTTGGCATTAAGTTCACCCACACCAGAATCCTTCTTGAGAACCATTTTGATTTCCATAAGTTTATAACTCAGAGTAGTAGTAAACAGGGACAACCCCTCAGAATCATTTAAAAATAGCACAATACACTTAATTTTAATGTCTAATAACATCATTATCTCTTAAACAAGAAAAAAGGGAGAACTCACTTAGCTTTAATTAAATCCAGGATATTAGACCTTAAGAGCTAATGAAAATAATACAGCTTTATTTTTTTAATTCATTAAGTCCTAGAGAATTATACTTTATTTCACTTTGTGGGGAGGGTTGCAGCTGCAAGTCTGTTCCCTGTTACACACACAGAAAAACATTACTGGCTGTGGAAAGAACAAGAAGAAAATCACCTATAAAACAAAACCAGAAGAGAAATACTTCTTCCAGAAACAGGAAAAAAGGACAGGAGTATTTAAAAAAAAACACACAGCAATAATATATATATGGTATAAAGCCTTGTATTTTTCAGACCAGCTTATTTCAGAAAACACATTTATCAGTTCTATAGCAGGATTCTTACAACTTAGCAGTGTGATCTAGAAACATAAAGGTTTTAAGATACTTGCATGCAAAAAAATGTTTTGCAATTGCCACATATTCCCAGCAGATTCATGGCAATTATCACTACTATTTCTTGTTTACTGCTTAACAAAAGTAAAATGCTAACAAAACCCATGACCAATGACTCTCTACAAAGACCAAGTCCTCACATCATGCTGGCTTGAGCAACTTAGTTTTAATCCACTTTAATACGGACTTGTAACAGTGCCTACATTTACTGGCTACCAAGGGATGCAGCATCTTCTTAGGACCACCATAATATAATTATGATTAAGCTATAAAACCACACAGACCACAAATGAAAGGAGATAATCTGCATAACCTCCTTCTACAGATGAGGAGCTGAAGTTCAGATGGTAAAACAAATTTCTCAGTGTTGCACTGAAAGTTCAGAAGCTGGAAACATACATGCAAGCAAAATAAGACCATGCCCAACAGACCAGTCTCCTTGCCTTATTTAATTACGTTTAGAAGAGAGTAGTAACTTTGAGATCACCCCCTACATATCTAAACAAGCCTTTACTAATGAGCACCTCAACATAAAATGAATTAAAACCACAGCTGAACTAATGAGGAAGAGAAGCAACTTCCCATTTTAGTTCAATGACTATAAACATTAAAAGATTATACCAAAATGAATTCAAACACAGGACTTATAAAAGCATTCATGTCTCTGCCCACACTACAGCTGGAGGTCAGCTTGCCATCCCACTGAAAGAGCTCTAACCCTCTCTCTGAGAGGGGTGCACCAATGCCAACAAGCAGTGCCAACTACACCACTAAGCTTGGATATCAAAAGTTGGTTATTCTTTTTGTCTACAGCATGAAATGTTTAATTTTTAACTCCTTTATCTTCAAAACTAAGAACTGCCTTGGTGGTGTATCACTGTTTACTCCAAGTCTTATTCACAACAAGCTGTAGATATGGTTTATTTTCTTAGGTGAAACATTTGTGTTGCAAAGAAATTTCAGACATATTGCTGTGTGAAAATTTGTGAAGACAGATCAATCTTTTTAGAATCACTCATAACAGTATTCCCTACAAATTCCCAGAAAATCATGAAAGAATGATTTGTAAACAGTACTTTAATAAAGAGAAATATACAGGACATAGGGCAAGAGGCAACGAGATCTATCATTTAAAGCTCTTGAGTCCTGTGTGGACAGTTTCCTTTTCTCCTCCCTAATTTCATATTAATGGCATGAAGTAAGGTATTTGAACTCAACTCAGCTGCCACTTCCATTTAAAAAGGTCTTGTGCTGCAGCAACGGCTTATTAGAATGCCTTTGAAAGAGGGCAGTTATTTATCAAGAACAGTCTTTGTCTCAACAAATTGAAGTGCTTTATGTCAGGATACTTACAGACAAATCAGTTCTACCAGTTCAGGCAGTTTATTAACCACACAGTATTTCTATATTATGATTTAGCACAAAGTACATTTAAATTGCCACACTACTAACTCTTTAAAATGACCTCTCAGAAGAGAGCAGCTATCTGATGAGTCTGACTGGAATCATTCAACCTACCTTACCTACAGGCACCTTTTACATAGTAATAGGGAAGGACATTCCTTGCAATGAGCAAAGCCATGAAGTTCTACCACAGCACAAACTGGCTAAGACAGTAACAGCAAAATAAATGGCAGCTGTCATTCCAAGAATAACACTGATCCTACATAGAACTCAAGTGTACTCAAAATGTTTCCACTCTACTCTAATTTTCCCTTGTCCACCATCTGTAAGGACAGCATGCCCTGAGCATAGGGGTCAGCATGGGAATCCCAGGGTGCAGCCTTTCATTCCCTTTCACCCAACACTTACATCAAAGATTATTAAATAAATCACCTCAATTAAGGTGGCATAGAATTAGCTTTATGTAGGTAATTCAGATCTTGCCCTGGCTGAGTTACCAGGTCAAGCTAAACTGATCAAGAAGATCACTCAGTGAGGTCAGAAATACTTAGCTAAACTCCTAATGACAAACCAGAGGCAGCTTTATGGTACGTAAGGCCAAAACATTTCAATGCTTTTCACTTCCTACAACTCATAGGTACAACTGACCCTGTAGTACATTAAGTTTCTCAAGTATAACCATGTTTGAAAATTCCAATAGTAATTTATCAAACCAGAGAATCAGGTTGGAAAATCACAAAAAAGTCTAGAAGAAAAAGACCCCAGGATGAGATATTGCCCCTCCAGAAATAGGATATACTGAAGTAACCGTTTTCCAGGATTTTTTTAAACTAGAAAAAGATGATGACAGTCCTACCTTAATAGAAGCAAGGTGGAGCAAAGTCTCTCCTTTGTAATTTCTTCTGGCAATTGTGTTACCACCAGGGGACTTCAACACAGAAGGACTATGTGGTATTCCTACTTGATTACAGGTCTTCAACTTAGAGGGGGTGGAGGGACATTTTGAAAGTGACCGACTATTTATTGCTTGAAAGACTGTGGAGCTTCTTGTCTTCACTCCAGTGTCAGTGACTTTTGATCCAGAGGAAGAAACCTGAACTGGTGTCTTGTCAGTTGTTGGGGAGATCGGGTAACCCTGAGGTAAATCCTCTGAGCAGTCTACCTGTCTGACTGACTTCTCCGTACTGCTCCTCTCTGTTCTTGGTCTTTTAGACTGGGAAGTAACTGGAAGTCTGGGTTGCTCCCTTCCACGTTTCAAAGGTGTAGTTTCATTCTCTATTGGCAGCGATGTCTCTGTAGCACATTTTTTTTCTTTGCTGACTTGTGCAGGGCATACAACCGCACTGTTATCTTTCTTCTCTGATACTTTTACCTGTGGCAACACTTCCACACTTTCCAGATTTTTTCTGTCATCTGCTGTCTTTACAGACTAAAAAAATGAAGTGTCTCTTCAGGGCTGTTTGGTTCTGGAGTACACAAGACTAATGGTTGACTGCAGATGGTCACACACTTTTCCTTGGGAGTTTTCTCCTCAACTCCTTTCTGCTCAGGCTTCTCAAAGCTCCACACTTTGTTAATGTCTGCTAGACATTTCCTCTTCATCTTCTTACTCTGTCTCTGTGTTGGTTTTCTTGTCGGCTTAGAGGGTTTTTCATGAGGAGGTGAAGGAAGGAAATCATAAACTGAAGATGTGTCTTGACAAAGGTCATTGCTTTTAGACTCAGGCTGACTCTTGTTTAGGGTGCATCTAATCTTCCTGCTTCTTGGGCTGAACCACATTTTTATCTGTTCCTTCTTACACTTTTTTCCAAAGTCTGACTCTGTTGGTGTTGACATACCTTCCGTTGAGTCTAAGAGCATCAGGGAAGAGGAAAAATAATTTATGGTTGCCTTCAGTAGAAGATCACATAGAAAAAAGATCAGAATAATAATTGTAACAACTGATGAAGTGTTACTAAATACAACCTATGACCAACTGCCTTGCTCCTGAAGAGACACAGGTTCTAAAGCAAGTGGCAAGGTCACAGGACACACTGGGGCTCAGGGATCCCTGTGCAGCTAAACTAGCCACGAGGCAAGCGAGCACCCAGACAGACGTGTCCTCAACAGGCTGGGTTCACAACACAGCACAGCCACAGATTTCTGACCAGGTTATAAGAGAGGAAAGACACTGGTTCTCTCAGTTTTCCTTGGAAATGCATTTAACAAATTAGCCTGTGCATACACACAAAAGCACACAGTTTTCCAAAGATATTACAGTTCATCTGAAGATGAACAGGGAATAACTGCAAGCAAGTGAAAATAATACTTTACAAGGATGTTGAGCATCCCACACAAATTTTGACTGACTCCACAGATATGGCACATGAATCAGAGGAATATATAGAAAATCTGTAAGTAATTGTGTCCTGTCCCTTGATCCTTTACCCTTTGGTAGTAAATAATTCCAAGGAAGCTACACTTTTTGATGATCTCAAACATTTCTTTTAAAATATGCAGTGGAGCAATTTCATAAGTCACGTTGTAAAGCATATTACAAATCAATAACCAGATTAATATCCTGTACTCTCAGTGTCTGAAGTAACAGTTGAGAACAAGGCCTATAACTGGTGTCCTCAATGGCCTAGAAATAAATTAAGGAGTATAAAGTGACCTCTAAGTTAAACACTAATTTAATTGGACAACACCTCTTTAAGTACAAAAAAAATTAAGATTTTTTTTTTTACAGATTCCTTCTTGGAAACCTAAGTTATTGTAGGTTGTTTGGACAAGACCTCCAAAGTAAATGCACAACTCATTCTTTCTGTTGCCTCCAACCTCAGGGGACTAAACTAGCATTCCCAAAAGCCTTGTGACTGTTTATAGCAATGATCAAACCAAGTTTTGCCTAGTGAGGCAAGTAAGGTAGCATTATTGCTATTTTTAGTGGGGTTTTTTAAACATTTGTGAAATATACTCTACTAAATCTTGATCACTGAAAGACACTCACTGCAACAATGTATCTTCAGTGCATTCACTTTCTAGGGAAAAACTGTCTTCTCTGTACCTTCTTTTTGGTGTTAGCAACTATAGCCTGTTTTCCACAGCTAGCTGTGAAAACCCACACACAGCAGACACACTAGTCCAAATCTCATAGCCACAAAAAGCTTGAAATTTCACTTAAAACAGAACTGTGTAGCTGGTAATTTAACACCAAAATAGATATTTGCAGATTTTTTTAAAGCAAGATTTCAAGATTAAATGTTTCCTCGATCTTGATTTAAATTACCCTGTTTCCCTCTTGAACTGAAATACACTAGGTATTAGAAGATTTATCTAGAGGAATACATAAGGCATCAGACCAAAAATGTCTGAGTCTAGAAGAATACACCTTGAGGCCAGCTAATCAATCATTTAGGTACGTAAAGATAACCATCAAGTACAGAACTGCAGCTATTTGGCTTTCCTCTAGGGCTGGGCTTGGTGCAAACAGGGAAGAAAGCACTGAAATTAAGACTGAACTCTCTGAACTATCCATATCTAGCCTTCAGAAAGATATCCGATTTCATTCTGACAATAACATCTAAAAAGAGGAACAGCTTGATTGCAGAAAGATACAAAGTAAGAAACACAGTTACTATTAACTTGTCTTGCCTTCACTGTTTACACAACTTGCAAATATTTACCTGCTAGAACTATCAGTCATCTCCAAGTAAAGAGCAAGAATAAAATCAGCTTGCAAAAGTAATTTGTGCAACAATTTGGTGATAGCCAGAATTCTTTTTTGATGCATATAGCACAGTAAGACTTTAAAGTCAAAGTGACAAATTCAATCAAAGGCTCTGTCCTTCAGAAGAAGGATCTAAAGCAGCATAACACAATTCAGCATTTACACTGGAAGCTATGTATACACCAATTCTGGCAGCAAGAAAGCTTGTGAAATATCAACCACAAGGATTCTTGAACTGATCTGTTCATTACTAGTTGCTCAGTAGGGACCTACTAATCTGGTTATTAAAAATCCACCAAAAATACATTGAATACTTTCCCAGGATTATTCTTCCTCACATCCAACTTCTTTAGGTGTAAAAAGAGTCTGTTGCATGTTTTAGAACAGGAAGGCACGCACAGAACATGTTCAAAAGGCCACGCATGTTAGAGATGTGGGACACTGAGAGGCCAGGTATCTCCAAAGCCCACTGGGGAAGATCCTGCAATTTCTGCCAGGTGTTTGGTGTGTCTCAGATGGTCTACAATAACTCCATCTTTCATCTTTTGGAATATTCTGTAGCTAACATCAACTCTACCTTAACAGTTCTACACAGCATCTGCAAAGAAACTTTATTCTTAGCCTCTGCTGCCCCTTTCCTCCATTTCCAAAGCATACAGGATAGGGAGTAGAAGCAATAAGGACAAATGGCCAATCAACCCTCCCTGAAAAATCTAATCCTTTGAGAGGCAAAAAGAGAAAAGACATAGTGCTAAGAAACTTACGGTTTAACATACAAATGTTAATTTCTATAAAGAGAGTATTATCTGGTAGCTAAGTGCACTCAGTTAAACTATCTTCAGAGAAACTTGCTGATAGAAAAATCGATCCAAAGGAATTCTTGGCTGTCACCAACTTGAAAGCCAGAGCTTGTGTCTCAACAAGAATGAAAAAATTACTGTATATAAATTATGGTTTAATTGTCTTTAACACATAAGGAGTATCCTCCCAAAAATTTCAGAGACTCATTAAAACAAAGTAAATCAGTAATGCATGCCCTACTAATTCAAGATTTTCAGCATCTCCAGTAAGTGTAAAGACTATCTACAATAACAGCATTAGAATCAGCCTATAACAAACTCAATAAATTTACTCTCCATTACATTATGTTATTAAAACATTCATATTCACAAAATATTAACTGAATTCCTTTTAAATTAAACTTATCTGCACATAACAAGCACAAGTTTCTTAACGCTGACATACAATAGAGTTAAATTTCTTAAGTGCTAAAAGGGTTGAGTAGACAAAAAGAGTAAGAGACAGGCAGTGCCTTAGTGCCTTGCAGCCTAGAAAGTTACATATCCAAGTTCTGCTGTAGTGCAGTAACAGGCTAGAGCAGGAAAAAAGGTGCAATTAGAAAATGTGGTTTAGCTGTCATTAATCTGCATCAAAGGAATATAATGATGCACATTGTGTGCCTTTTCAAATTATTCTCTATTATGGGTTTCAGAACAGAAGTTGAGAAATCTCTTTGACAAATCAGTCCCTTATTAAAAATCAAAGGGAAGTGCTTTGGTACCATCTGTGCAACATTAGTGCCTTCACCAAAGAATCATTATTTTGCAAGTTAAGTATTCAATACGGGGGGGGGGGGGGGAAGGGAGGGGAAGGGAGAAATTCCAGCTATTCAAAAACTCATCTTTAGCTATTATGAAAAATGTCACAGTGTACATGAAATGCAATGTAATCTGTTACAACAGGAGTTCAATATCTCTCCCTCCACACCAGTAAATGTGAAACTAAATTATGCTACTATAAAGACTAATCAAAAGTTAATTTTTCCTACTGTCCGTCAGCATCAACATGAGCTTAGGAAGCTTTGATCAACACCTGCAAGGTCTAGCTTTGTATGAGGAAGTGTGTGGGGGTGGAAGGCTTTGTGTTGATTGTGCCAGAGTGAAGGAGATTATGTTGGAAAGAATAAGATAAAACAACTGTAAGTGGTTGTTGTGAAAATTTACAGCAATCTTCCTCTTAAATAACACCACACAGAAAAATCTGCTGAGGTATTTAGAAACTCACTTTCAAAATCATTGCTGTAAAATCATCCCTCTTCATCTCTGCTATACTATATACACTATGTCCATGGGTCAACAGGTTCTTAACAATTACCCACCTAGGAAGCCCATCATCTCATCAACTCCAGTTCTCAGAATGTCTTGGACTCTGCAACATTAAAGCTAAAGATTCTGAGGTGCAGGCACCCCATCTATGAAGCCTGCCAGCCAAATAGCTTCCCATTACCCTTGTAAAGCTACAACATTAAACAGTGAAAATGTCAGATGGGTCACCTTACCTTGCCATAGACCAAGGACGTAACATCTCTAACAAGTGAATGAATTTTAAGACTCAGCATTTACTACCTGTATCTTTTTTTCTAGTCAGTTTCAGCTTTGTTCTTTGCCAATTTCCCTTCAGTGGCCCCAGTACTATTCTGTAGTGTCATTTGCTGTGCTTCCTTTTAATTTAAAAAGGAAACATTAGCTGTCTTTTGCAGTCTTTCCTGAGTTACTTCCATGGTGGAACAAGGAGGTAGAGGGATTTTTATACTTGAACTATTCAAAACACAAGGTTATCCCTATCCTGAGAAGGTCCCAAGAGTTCTGGGTGGTTTTCAAGACAACACACACAACTCACTGCATTCACTAGGTGTTTCTTAGGTTTAAAAACAGGCAAAATGATGCATTAGCATCAGAAACTTGTCAACAAGGATCTTTAACAGAAGCCCTGAGACAAGCCACCATTGTCTCAAAAGAAGGCATTTAAAACAAATACACAAAATATATGGGAAAACTCCTTTTTCAACTGCTTCTCTTCCTTTTCTTCACAGAAAGACTGATTTATTTTTTTTGTCTATTTCCTTGCTGGAACAGAAAAATACAATTTCTGACCTCTAGCAAAAAAGAAAAGAAAATATTGTTGACAGGAACATGGCAGAAGTAGAGTGCTGTAAGAACAGGAAAAAAAACCTCTTAGCAAGAGAGGCCCTGATTCTCAAAACTCAAACATATTTCACTTTGCATGCATTAAGTTCAAGATATACATCTATGGGAGCTGACAGATTCACCAGTGATGGGTGACAAAGCATCCTAAAGGATTTGCTCATAAAAATCTGAAAAGCTACAGCATCTTGTGATTTGCCCTAGTACTACACACAAGTGGCTGTTGTTAGAGGTCTCCTCATTTACTTATGTATCCAAACCATTCCTGACAGTGAAATATTTCCACCTCTGGAGGTTCTTCCCTGAACCTCATTATGAACTATCCATGGCCATTAATCTATTGCAGAGACTACAAGTGATGGGAACTCATCTCCCATATCAGCTCACAACTTTAGCTCCAAATAAAACTCGTGTAAACTTCCAATTTAGAGTCTGCTTTTAAGTCAGAACAAAGAATGACAAAAAGAACCTCACTTAATTCTGTGAGGTTGCACACTAGGCAAACTTTGTCCTAAAAGAACTCTAGGATTAAATGTATTACTCAGCATCTAGCACAGTTAAACATCAGACCATTTTGCTAAGACTAATACTGCTATGTTGTATTTTAAATGCTTTATTTATAGCACCACAAATAACTCCTCTCCATGAGATTCCATTTCAACTATGTTTTTAAAAACCTTCACCACTTAAAATGTTCCCTTGAAATCCTATTTAAGCCATAATCTATATTTTCTATGCTCCAGAAGATTTAATCACCATAGGATTTTTTATCTATATAAAATGTATTCCTTTACAGTTGGACATAAGCTTTCAGCCTTCTAACTTAAATGCATTTTGATGTCAATAAAGAGCTACCCCAAAAACGAAAATGAAGGTGCTAATAGGATTAGACTTTAGGAAAAAATCTTTGATGTAGACAAACATACTAGGAAGCAATAACGAAGGAAGAATTACCTTTTCAGTATCTGACAGCTAAATGAATGTTTTCAAAAACTTGGTATTACATAAAATGATCCTCTCTGAGCTTGGAGAAGAAACGTCCATTCACCTACACTTCCTTCACTTCATTTTTTTTCCTACATTGAAAATCAGCCCAAAATTTGATCAAGAGATTAACTCCCCGAGTATGATCTCTGCAATCTTCTAGCACATACAGTAATTACAAAATTCCATTTTAGCAGACCAGCTGATTCTTAGGGACCAGAAAATAAATGCATTAAGACTTGTCTCCCTCCCCATTTAGGCAAGGAACAGAAATAATTTTTTTAACGTCCAGAAGTCCTAAACTAACAATTACTGGGACAGAATGCACACCTTGATGCACAATCCACAAGAGGCAAGAAAATAGATGCATTAATCCTTGAGCAGGGCCCCCCAAAAGAAGCATGCACTGCAGAACACTACACATTTGTGCTCTCTGGAGAGCACAAGATGTAACAACTTGTGCCCCTGATTCATAGAACTAACTGCCACTTGACTTGGGAATCTATCCCACTTTTGTCTAATTCTGGAAGACAGATTCTAATGAATTATGGACTAACCCACTCATGCAGATTTCTTAGTAAAACAGACTCAAAGAACAAGCAATCTATACAGACAGTTCTCTTCAAATCCAATTTTCCAAACATGATTCAGGACAGCCTTTCAGAATCTTAAGCAGGGCAGCACTGCTCATTCTTTCAGAGCCAGAGAAATGAAAGGGAGTGATCTGGATTCAAGGGCTGCCAGAGCCCCGGGTTTGCTCTTACCTGAGGTGTCCATACCCAGGAGGTGCCGCAGTTGTCTGCAAAGCTGGATGATGTGATCGAGTTGCCGGTTTATATGTGCATCTTGCACCCAGGCTGGCATGTGGCAAACCGGGCACTTTGTGCCAACGCAGTCGCCCACACAAGATCTGAAAGTCAGACATAAAAATCCATTACCAGCACAAATTTTCTTCTGTGCTTCTCACCAACCTTTTCACAGCCAAAGGCTCAGCGAGAACATCTCACTTTGACATTGTCGAACCACGATGGCAAAGCCCACATGAGTTAAGTCACAAATGCCAGAGAGGATAGATTTATCATGGCAAGTGACAAGCCATAATTAAGCAAGCCAAGTCCATGGCCTTGTCAGGACACTGCAATGAAAGAGGTGGTATTTTGGAGTCCCATGCACTCACAAGCTGATCCAAATTTTCAAGGTATGCTAAAAACTTGGTGCTCTTTGTCTCCAGACAACAACTGGGCTTGAACTGAGAAAACTCCACATGCTTTCACACCTCACCTAGACAGGGCTATTCTTTCTATTTTTTAAAAAGTGATAGCAAGCCAACTCATAGTAAATTACCATTTCTGGTTTTTCCACACTTAAAATTTTCTTGATGTTGTGAAGATTCACCTGTCTGAATACTTTCCTGTAAAAACTCCCACGAGGATTTGCAGATGTTCCCTCACTTTTCTCTTTCAGAGCACTCATGTCAGATGATCAAGGTGAGGTGGGGGAACATATTTACTTAGCATCAATCATTTAACACTTGCAGCTTCTTAGTAATTCTACTTTCCCCACATCAGCCTAAAATCTTTTATTCATTTGATTAGTCCAGTGAGAGGACCTTCAGATTTGCCATCTGAACTGCACGATTCAAGGGTCAATGTTACTTCTCAATTCCAACCTATCCTATTAAATTAATCTAAATCCTTAGCTTTAGAAAAAACACCACCAGCCACTATCCAAAATTCAGCAACCAAAGGGCACATTGATGTCTAAAAGGTCAGGTATACAAAGGAGAAAACCAAAAGCTTGGGTACCAAGCAATTATGTTTATTAAGCCACCCTTATGGGTACCCTTCAACAATCCACACTACACCTGAGAAAACATTTTAGAAAATAAATATGAACACATATTCATAAATAACTTGTACAGGCTTCTGGGGTGTATTTTACCAAGTACTCTGTGGACAGGTAGTACAAATGGAACAAGTAAAAAGATATTCCTTCAGACAGCAGAATATTCTACAGCAATTAATGGCCAAAGCTGGGAAAGAAACCACACATCTGGATGGAAAGAAATCATTGGTACATCTTTTAATATATTCATACTGGTGGGAACAGATGCTGAGGGCATCTGTCCCATTATCCGTTACTCCTTAAAAAGACAGAAAATCTTTTGCTAGTATTTTATTCTTCAGGCCTTCAAGACTTTAAGCTCCAATTAGAAATGTGCAGCTGAAGACAGAGGAAATACACAGCCATGAGGGAGGGAGGGAGGGTTTTACTCTGCTTTTTTTGACAGAACATGTACAGTATCAACTCAAGTAACTGAAAAATGAGACTACTTTAGCAGAGGCTAGAAAATGCCTATGCTCTCCACTGTAACAAGCATAGGATGGTATTAGCTCATATGTGCTGTGCAAGATATATGAGTGACCTTTTAACTCCCTGTGCAGGATGGTATTAGCTCACATGTGCTGTGCACAGAAGCTGTGTAAGATATATGAGTGACCTTTTAACTCCCTGTGTTGGCATTCTCATGCCATGAAGAGCAGTGACACACAGGACACTCAGAAGGTTACACGACCTTCCCCACATGAGGCTCTGGAGGAGGAGCATCTCAGACTCTGCCTGTACTAACAGTGCAGTGAGCTGTCCTAAGACAGGTCAAATGACTACCACCTCTGCAGACTTGCCTCATTAGCAGGACTCTAATTTAACTCAGTTGTTTGTTTTTTTAAACACTCAGATTATTTGACAAACTGTAAGCAGAGGTACTCGTGCTTTCCCAACATGCTTGGATGCACATGCATACAGGCACAGCTGCAGATCTGAAGGAGCAAAGCCACTTGCATGGCAGGTCAAAGGAATGACAAGCAGTACCCAATCCTCTCAGGCAGAGCAACAAAGTCCCCTTGAAAGCGGGAGGGATCATTCCAGAAAGAGGAAGGAGCTGGAAATGGCAGCAAGAACTGGAAGTTGTTTCCTTGTCCTGCCCCATTACCAGGGAACACTTCCCCCATCAGATTGAGGGCTCTTTTTATACCTGCCCAACATCCTGAAGCCTAAACCAGCCCTCACGAAGCCGGTCTTCACTCTGGCAAGCCAAACACCGACGCTGGAGCAATGGGCCGAACCCCACCGAAGGGCAGAGCTCCCTCTTTGCTCTCTCTGGCCAAAAAAACCACGGCCGGTGCCCGATTCCCCAGGCCAGCAGCCCTTTCTCCAACGCAGGGCCAGGATGGGAGCAGAGGGGAAAGCCTCGGGGTGCCCAGGGAGGGGGCACTGGGATACTTACAGGCAGAAGACGTGCTGACACTGCCCCAGGGACACGGGCTCCCGCAGGACACCGGTGCTGAGGAAGGAGAAACGCGGCAGTTTTTAGAAAGGCCTGAAGGGCCGGGAGGTAAAGGCCGCGGAGGGGG